CAAACAATACTCGCAACACAGCTGTTTACAATACTCGCAACAATACCTTGCATCATCTTTCCTGAAGAAAATGTGAGTGAGCACTATAGACCGTTTGTAGGTATTTATTTCGTCTGTTATTAAAGACGTGAACACACCTGGTGGTACATCCACAATTATTCTCAATGCTGATACGCTACAGATTGTTTGATTTTAATGTAACTTTAATTCTCTTGCAATCGAAGAAAATTAATGCCATACTATGGAACGGTAGGAATAAATTACCCGCGAAAATGCCAATGTTCTGTTACATTATTCCTTATGGCAAACTCCGAAGAATGGCATCGAAATAATCTCAAAGTTCTGGAGCAAAACTTGGTTGTCCTTTTGTCCAAGGTCGATTTCTAGAAGACCAGTCATGTGTCTTCGCAAAAATATGCAAATGCCATTGCTTTACAGGAATAAGTGGTCATTTCACGAACGTCCACTTAAGCTCGGTGGTTGGCTTTACGTTCTGAACTGTCGTGAAGGCGAGTGTGACATGAAAATTAGTACCGGAGGTGACTCGCTTGAATTTTTCTGTATTTGCATTGTTAGAAACGAAAAGACATCGGCAGAGGAGTATGTTTAAGGAGCTTATTTGAAGTTTCGTTTATGATCACGAACTCGAAGGTGGTGGCCAGTGTCGCCCACGCGAGCAAATTTCATTTCCAGTGTTTTAAGGGGACCAACATCTTAACTTAACTTCCATCGGTTTTGTCAATCACCATATAAATTCCGTTTTGATGACGTTTCTGGGTTGTATTCCATGGGCATGAATCATATACAGTTGTTATAATAATTGTATGTCAATAAGGCATTTTAATGATTGCTTCATCCCGTTGCTCATAGCCGTCTAAATTGACCATTTAAGCAAGTCATGGTTCCACAGAATTCGAGGCCCTGTAGCACCAAGTACATGTTGCATCATTTTTTTCGCTACCGCTCATCATCAACGGTGTCTAAGTAGTTGGTGCTCCTTATTTGCTATCTCATGAACATCAAAATATGTCTGTAGGCCAGAGTATATGAAACAGCGCACAACTCCGGCACAAGACCAATTTCCCGGGCAGGCATTGCTTCAATGACCCTCTTCCCAGGAAACTTGGAGCATGAGGGGGCGGAGCAGTACGTCTTGAAATCTGGCCTTCAAGAAGTTATGCTTTAATTTGGTTGTTGCGATGATTGTCTTAAGTTGTTCATAATAGCAGCAAATAGCATGCTGTCTTAGCCGGATCTTCTCCCATGCACAAAAAATATTCATTTTCAAACATCTGTTCCTACCCTTACGTCAGTACGTGATCATTGTGGTTAGTTGGAACTCGAAGGCCAATGCGCAACTCAATTTTTAGGACTTTATTTCTCCTCCATGCTGTGAACGGATGACATTTTTGCTGCTGTTGATTGCGACTATCTCGCAGAAGCGAAGATGGCCATTTCAGGCCGCGAGTTTCACATTCTCTGTAACTTCCACCGATGCCGCTATGGTAAAGAAAACATACCTGCATTTGATAAAGGCACTCTGACACGCGATTTATCTATCCTTTTAGGCATGTTCACAGTTTCAGGAGATATTTGTCTCAGTTTTCATTTTCTTTAATGAAAAGGCTAGGAAGATGAAATAGGTTCCGCTCCACCTGTGCACTTATAAGTTCAGGAAACTTAGCTCTTGACAGCTCCCACATCCTTAGCTCTTGACAGCACCCACATCCATCCAACTACCAAAACAAGCGTGTTGACGGTTAAGGGCGTGAGGTGCAGAGGTGTACGGTAACATGAGCCAATAACAAATGAGTGTCATGCAATTTGCAGACGATCAGGGTAAGAAAGACAAAAAATAGTTTGAATCCGTTGAGGTGTCGACGATTTCTGTTACACTTTCATGACTTGAGACGATTTGGGGGTTCGTCATTTCGTTAAACTTTTGGTGAAGCGTTTGATACTTATTTCTACTCCATCAGCCAAGAGCGGCATTTTTTAAAGTGACAAGCACAATGCGTAATTGATTGCTTCCCTCCTACCGAGTGGTTCTCATTTTCAACCTCAGAGGTAAAGAAAACGACTGATCCGTCCCGGACTCACACAAACGTAGGACAGATCGGTTCTGAAACCTATGCTCTATCGACCGTGAAACAAAATTCGTCACTTAGCAACCAGTACTGCGGCGAGCAAGAGTACTGCCAACAATGACAGATCTAATTTCGGTCGAAACACTGAAATAGCATTAAATGACCATTTTTATTTGTCGTGCTGCTGGCCATAGAATTCAAGGATCCATTGGGTTTATGGCATAATTTCTGTTACGCTTTCTTCCTTTCTTCCAGGTGTTAATTTTTTACAGATCTTGCCCCAACCGGTTCCATTTACCCACGGTTGTTCTCGTGAACACAAAAGCGGGCGGCGTCGCTCGTCCCCACGGCCTGGAGACAGCTATCCAGTCGGCACTTCTTTATGGGCATGAACTTTAGGCAACTGTTCAAGCACGAACCGGATCCGACAGGGCTGCCTCCCCTATCAATTCCATATGTGTGACTTGCAGCACTGAATTACCATCGCTACATTTTCTCCCATTCATTGCCTCTTTTCATTCATTACTTCACGTTTATTTATGAGCGTACGAAACTCCGCACTGACGCTGTATTGTAATGCGCTGATCCGCGTCATGCTGCGATAATTTTCCTTTTGTCGGCGAGTCACGGTCACCAGCTATGCTCCGTTTGTCCAGACTTCGACTCCCTCGAATACCAGGCGAATACGGCGTTTGCCGTTGCTGCTGTTACACGGGACATTTCACGGTAAACGCGCGGCAGTTTTCTTTTTAAAAATTATTCATAAACAAATAGCACTAATTACCTGAGTAAACGTCGCTGTCGCATATCGATTGTTGATGTTTCGGCGGCGACCGGTGCGAATCGAAGCGAAAGCGAACTCAAGGCGTTTTCCAGGTAGACGCAGCCATGACAACCGCTGAACCGCTACGGCTAACCGTTGGGATCCGTTGCTGGACAACGGCTAGCCTTGCAGCACCGGTACGGGAAACGAACGATGTCGTTCCGTGAACTACGAAGTAACGATGCGGCCAAGTTTGCGTGTATGTGCGTTGAAATACAGGCGGTGAAATGTGCAGGTTTCGTGGAGATGTTGCGCCAGCTCGGCTATCCGCAGAACATGTCGATCGACCACTTTCGACGTCACGACTTTTACGCGATGGCACACGTCCTTTCGTGGCTGATTGAGCAGTAAGCGATCGATTTGAAGTTATTACCGTAGGTTTAGCGAGACGCGAGCTAGCGGCACCAATCCGCCATAGGATCGACCCGAAGAGTCACATCGAGCTGCAGATCGCCACCGAACAGGATCGCGTGATCTTCGTGAAAACAGCCACCCAGTTTCTGGTAGGTTTTTTCTTGGAAGGCTGAGTAAAAAATAAGCTGCTACGAAGCACCCGGTGCTTCAGGTCGAACATCTGGACATACGAGTGAATCCACAGAAACTGTACCAGGCGAACGTGTACGCCGTGCAGGAGATGTTGAAGGTGGCAACGTTTCTTTACCGAGCAGTCGACCAAGTTCGACAAAGCGTGATGGAAGACGACGAGCAGTCGAGAATGGACTTCGCCCAGATTAGCCGCTCAAC